TATTTCAGCTCTCAGTACTGTGTGTACTGGATCTCTCAGTACTGTGTGTATTTCAGCTCTCAGTACTGTGAGTACTGGAGCTCTCAGTACTGTGTTCCTGATCTCCGTGTCAGGCTGAATGATCTAAATCTTTCGTCCTCTGGCCTCAGTGGAAACAGATCGAGTGTAATCCAGTGGGAGCCGTCACCTCTTCATCTCCTGCTCCTCTAATGAATTAATAAAAACCGACAGTTTCTCTAAACACAGATTCACACGACGCTCTGCTCCGTCATCGGATCAGAAACATCTCAGCACCGAGCTCCAGCCTCCTCCAGCCAGCGGCGCTCTGCTCCACCTGCTGACTCTGTAATGATGTGGCCTGCTGATGACAGGAAGAACCCCCACGGCTGCATTTCTGCATTTTCACACTACAGCAGAGTGTTTTCCCATGAGCACCCTGTTCTCTTCAGACGGGTTTTAATCGACGCTGCGTGCAAAGGTCACTTCTTATTTATTATTCAAAAGGATAATTTGGTGTCGAGGATAATGAAACATGCTCATCACATGTTCTCAGGGAAGATGGAACCAGAAAATGGACGTCACATTGATGATGAACTTTGTGATTAATTGGTTTGATAACTTACATTCAACAAATGGAAATATCCACACATCTTCCTCCTCCTCCTCCTCCTCCTCCTCCTTCACCTCCATCTATTATCTACCCCTCACTGATCTTCATTAGACCTCAGCAGCTTGACTAAATCTGAACCATCCTTTTCTTCACAGCCTAAATGCTCATGTTGCACCATCTTTCCTCCGTCACATGAACTCTGGCTGACCTGAACGGTGCATGTGGCTCAGTGAACACACATGACCTTCTCCTCCTGCGTCCACCAACACCTCTCCTGGAGCAGGAGCTTCTAGACCCTCTGCCTCTCTGCAGGCGTGTGGAACCGTGACGGGTTTCCTCACATGAAGGAAACCGTTGTCGTTCATCTGCTGCTGAAATCTACCTCGTCTGGAGAGCTGCCCTGAGTGCAGTGACTCTGAGGAGTAACACCTCTCTCTCCCTCCTCCTCCTCCTCCTCCTCCACCGCTGGGCCCAGTGTGATGAAGAGGAGCTTTGTTGTGGAAACAACAATGAAGCAAGCGAGAGTGTTTTTGCTGTTTTGCCACTGAGGTTTCTAAGCGAGCAGGGTGGTCCGTTCAGTGGGTTTCCCAAGAATATCTGATGCCGAGCGGCTGGTGTTCATGTTTCCTTTCCATCCTCTTACCCGAGCCATCGACCTGCGACTACAGCCCTGACATCTCTGATCGGTGTTAAGACAAAGAACAAGGATACAGATGCACTCGGACGACAGAAAAGTTTGCCTCACAAATGAAGCCATAAACTCCTAAAATCCACAAACTGTAAAGGAAATCTACATAAAGCAGCTGTGGACAAAAATGTCCTCTAAATGCAGCTTGCAGGTTCCAGTGGGATCTCCTCCACCTCCAGCAGGAGTCTGGTTCATGGACCTCCAGCAGGAAGGGGCTCTGGTGGTGGCAGCTCATTTTCTGCAGTGATTCAGACTGAACTGCCTCGAGGGACAGCTCAGTCTGCAGGTTCGGTCACAGTCAGAGGAAAATATGACAACTCACAGTGTTACTGCAAATAAATAAATGCAACCTGGGACAGAGAGGACAGACTGAACCTGCTGCAACAGACATTCAACCAATGAGCTGAGCTTCTCCCTCCTCATGATGCAGTTTGAGTTAGAATCTGGACTCGATCGTGTGTTTCTACGTGACACTTGATAATAAACTGATTCAGACTCAAGTTATTCTCTGTGCAGGGAACAAGACGAACCAAGTCCTCGGACCGGAGCAGGAGATTCTCTCTGTAACACACTAGTCACGAGCTCTTGGACACAGTGAGAGTCAAAGTTGTCATGTGCGAGTCTCTGTCGGTGCGGCAGCTGTTCGTCCGCAGGGAATCGAACCGTCTCACCTTGTACACGTTCTCCGTGATGCGGTGCACCTCGTCGGTCCGGGACATCCTTGCAGCAGCGTCGGTCTCAACCATAGACGGAGGTTTCCTTCAGGACGCGGCTCTAGAGTCCGGAGCTCCAGAGGATCATCTGCTCAGACACGAGCTGTGTCCGTGGATCTGCGCTTTATACCCGCGCTGCGCCCACAGCCCCCCCCCCCCACACACACACACAGCCGCTGGAGCAGGGGCGGACCGAGGGAGGACAGGGGCGCTGCTGCCTTCAAGGACACCGGGAAATAAAGCTGCTGCTGATACGACAGATCCTGAGCAAACAATGGAGAATATGAGTAAGACACGGAACAAACTTACAGAGTGACTCAAAGTTAAAGGATGAATTCACTCATGATGACATGGTACAAATACACAGGGTACAAATACACATGGTACATTTAGGTCTAATGTTTTAACATTTTAGATTTGTGTCATTTCCACGTGAGGGAGCTTTTAAGTTCATAGATAGATAAATAAATAAGAACGTGTTCATCTCTGTCTCTGGAGAAGCGACTTGTCTTTTATTAACATCACGACGATGAATGAATTCTCAGTAAACCTGAACAGAAGCACACACACCTGTGACTCATCTTTACAGAGACCCTGAACGCAGCACAGCATCTCATCTAACCACGCCTCCTCCGCGGTGTCACGCGCTTCCCACGCCGCCTCTGCTACAACCATTCATCATCCATTCACAAGATCAGAGCCACACAGACCCTGGATCAGTCTGACTGAGTCAGAATGGAGGCTGGAGACAAAGGGACACACCTGAAGGACACCTGGAGGAGGACGGTCTCATGTCCTCTGAACAGATGAGATGTTCAGAGATGTGAGAGGAAGCTGAGGACACTTCAGAGAAAATCAATCAGGCATCTTTGGTCTTCTCAGGAACAAACTGCAAAAGTTCCCACTGTCAGCGAACTCATCGAGCTGCTCCAGAATCAGTTATTAGACCTGAAGCGGACTTCCGTTCTGTCCGCTGCTCCAGGTCCCAGCTCGATGACACACAAGAGCTTCCAGAGGAGGATTGTTAATCACGTTCAGCTCGAGGAGCAGAGCTCAGGACCTCTCTCTTGACTTCAAGTGAAACTAGAAAGTGTCAGAAATCCTACAACGGCCACAAACATTGAACATATCATTGTTTCATTTGTTCAGTAAAATGATTTGATAAAAAAAACAATGAACACAAAATGATCAAATCATCTAATAAATAAAGACACAGACGTCTGAGTGAGACTTTCTTCAGCTGTGACTCTAAAAGGTCTGAAACTTGAACTTGAGACACATTTGAACTGAACATTTAAAAGATAAACACAAATCAACTGAGACTCGTGTTCTGACCTGTGAAAATAAAACCACCAGAATATCATGACCTCTCAGAATCCTCGACACAGACTGAGGAGACTCGTTCATCTCGTCTCCTGGTTTAGAAATGTCCTTCACACTTTACCCACAATGCTTCTGTCGCACGTGGCAGGAGACTGGATGTGGATCTTCTCTGAGAGTGGAGGTGTAGAGATGTAGGCCCTGCTGAGGTGGGAGGGACACACACACACACACACGTGTCTCCTCTTCATGTCTGTCCCACTCGTCTTCGTCCTCTCTGTGAGTCATCAGGCTCCTCTGAGTGCTTCGCCCACTCCCACACACCCCCGCGGCTCGTGAGCCCTCCATTCACAAAGAGCTCGTCCCTGTGAAGTGGATTTCACTGAACTCCACAAAGACAATTCATGTTTCAGTTTAGTAAAAGGCCTCAATGATGAAACGCCAGGATTCATCTGAGGAAAGTCTTTCACAGCTTTAACTGTGTTTTTCTTTTTCAAAGTTCACTCGATGTTTTTGTAGAATCCCTCGAATGAACAAGGTCGTGAGGGACATCGATACACAGAAGCAGACACATGGTTTCGCTTCGTTCTCATTTCAAATTAAATCATGTAAATGAAATCGAGCTTATTTGGACATTTATAAATCAGTGGAGTTAAACTGCTGAGGAAGATAAGATCACATCTCGACTCACTGTTCCTGGTTTTTCATACATCACCTCAGTCTCTTCTTGTTTCTTTCTGTTATTGATTTATTGGACATGTTTAATTCTCTAGATCTGAATGTTGAACTCATTAACATCTATATAAAGTTATTTCACTTGCGTGTGATTCATTTGAAAGTTTCTGTATGAAGGTTAAAGTTCCTCGTCAGTTAACTTTACAACCATCTGGTCAAGTTGAAATATGAAACCAAGTATTCTTGACTGATGTGGAATTACTTTTCCTTCACTGGAACCCCGTGGTTTCTTTCCAAACATAAATAATTGTGTCCACATACTTTTGGCCACAGACTTCTCCTGCACGTCACTCTTCAGGAACGATGTCTCCTGCTGCCACCTTGTGGTCAACCTCGGTAAATGAACCTTTTGAATTCCTGCGGTGAAACAAAGTTATGATTAAAAAAATCTTTATTGAAAAAGAATTTACAGAAAGAGAAACATGACGTTTGCGTCCTGACGACTTGAGTCATCAGTGATTTCTGTCCGAGATTAAATGATTGACAGATTATTTACTGATGAATCTTCAGAGACACAAGTTTTATGAATGTGTGATTCAAACACACGTCTACAAAGTAAAAGTATTACAGTGTGATAATACTCCGCAGGTCCAGATGCAGGTTGTGTGAAGTTATTGAAGAGATTAACGTCTCGCTGTTAAACCCTCAGATGACCTCGTTCTCCAGCGACACTGAACTAATCCTCAACCAGAGAAGTTCGGCTGAAACAGGTCCGAGAACTTTCTGAGAAACTGAAGCAAAAGTTTCGACTTCAGAAAAAGTTCCAGGGTCGAACATGTTTGGAAGAAGAGCTCGACGTCAGGACGACTGAGGAGGAGGAGGAGGAGGAGGGGAAGGAGGAAGAGGAGCAGGTCTGACCTGCAGAGGAAATGAAGTCAGACTCCACAGAACACAGTCGAGTGTCATCCTTCATCTTAAAGGGTCAATTCACCCAAATGACAAAAACAAAACATGTCACTCCTCAGTCCCGTCAGGAAATATTCATGTTTGCAATCTCATTTTCCCAAATTTGAAAAACTTTAAAAACAATTACAAACAAAAAAATCTCAAACGATTTCCACGAAGTTGTTGGAGCTGTGGTGACTTTTATTTAAATAACTCTTAAAAAGGAAGAAAATAAGGTTTTCTCCATCTTTAGAGACGGAGAACTAACGATACTCTGATAAAGTAAAGCATCAATAAGGTGCAACATCATGAAACCAAAGGTTTTTTTTTAAGACGTCAACTGTTCTGAATATTTCTTCGGTGCAAAGTCAAACCAATGAAACGTCTGCAGGTGATTCAGATCAGGGACTTGGTTTTTTGAACGAAGATCCTTGAGAGTCACAAATGAAACGAACTCACCTGCAGCAGAAGAGACAGATTCAAACCTGCACAAATCAAACCCTGAGGAAAAAGAGACGGAAGCGAGTAGATGTGTCTTTTTGTGATTTGGGTGAACTGACAGTTACAGCCTGTAAATGAAACCGACGAGGAGACGATGCATCACAGTGAGAATCACACACACGTTTCAAAGTTAAGTTAATGTTTGTTAAACGACTGAGTGGAGAAAGAACATGAATCAGAGGTTTGAGTTAATTATCTAACGTCACAGGTCGTCAGTTAAATCAGAGTTTGTCAGAGCAGCTGATGAACCAGTCGTGATGCGTTCAAGTGTCGTCCTGCAGCAGAGGACAAACAGAGACTGGAGGACATGGAGGAAGATCAGTATCTGGGAGCGAGGTCTGCTGCTTCATGTTTGTTGTTTCCTGTGGGACTGGAGTGTTGTAGAGAGAACCAGCAGCTGGAGGTCCGTCGTGTTCTCACGCAGCGAGCAGCTCTCGCTCTGGTTTCTTTCTGGGACGTTCTCTCTCTGGAAGAAAACAGGACGGAGGTTTAACAACAAGGTCTGAAGTAGAGAAACCAAACGTCTGGTCGTCGATACTGGAACCAAAACATTTCTACCATTTGATAAAGAACAAAACCACAAATCCCATTTTTTATACTCCAGATTCACCATGTGACAGTTCGTGCTGTAGAATTAGTGACGAGGTAAATCAGGTTGATCACATGTTCATACAGCTTCTCCTCAGATTCACAGCTGATCAGGACGACACAATATTTGAAGTGAATTTAAGACGGAGAGAACAAACCTGGTTTCTCCTCCTCTGGAACATCTGGCAGCTCGTCTGAAGGAACCTCAGGAAGCTCCACGTCTCCCTGAAAGTTCATGAGACAGATGAGACACACGAGGACAGTGAGGAGCAGAGCGCTGCTTCACATCCTGAGTCCTGACGTAATGTCTGTTTCAGTCAAACCTTAAAAACCCAAACGTTCACACACTGAGTGATGAGACCGACCTGAGTTATGGCCTCCAGCTCAGCGAGAACTGCATCTTCATCTTCCTGTGAGAACGAGCCGGCCAACATCTCATCGATTTGCTGCAGAAGAACAAAAACTCTCAGTTACCAACAAAAGAAGAACTCTACCATGTGAGGAACACGTGGGGAACATGTGGGGAACATGTGGGGAACATGTGGGGAACATGTCGGGAACATGTGAGGAACATGTCGGGAACATGTCGGGAACATATTGTCTCATTAAGCTGAGGACAAACACATCCAGTCGTCCTCTGAGGACATTATTGTGGAACTCACCCTTTGGTATTCGATGGAATCTTGAGTTTCATCCATGATCCGTTCGACTTCTTCGATCGACATCACCTGAAGTGAAGAAGACGTTTTAACAAATCACATCAACAACCAGTGATTCAGGAAGAAGTGAGATTCATCACACGTGTTGACGTCACCACCGACCTCGTGCATCTTCTTCAGACACTCATTTCCGACCTTCAGGCCATCGAGAACCTTCTTTTCAATCTGGGCGAACTCCAGGTCTTGAACCTGAAACGAGCAGGGAACAGAATGAGGCTCAGTTTTCCTGCCGCACGTTGCGTCGCTGCGTCGCTGCGATCACTCACCAGATGCTCCAGGTTACTGATCTGATTCTCCGTCTTGTCCAGCAGTTTATCCTGGTAGCGCTTCTTTTTCAGCAGGAGGAGAGCTTTGCTGTTTTAATCCAAACGACAGTAAAATTAGATTCACAGGAAATAAAATGAGCAAATCATTAACAGTGAAGAGAGAAAATGTGTAAATACGGTGAAAAGAAAAAAGCAGCAAAGCTTTGTTTCGCTTTCATGTCAATAATCTGGAGAAATTTAAATCTGCTGCTTCCCAGTGTTTTCTAGACTCATTCAAAATGAATCAGTCTCTTTATTCCTTTTGTTCCTCTCACACAGAAGTTTGTGTGTAACAGCCGTCACTGAGTTTTCCTGTCAGGTTTCTTCACTCACTCTTTCTTTCCATCCTTCAGCAGCTGTTTGGCCAAAGCTCGTTCCTTCTCCAGCTGCAGGTTGATCTTCTTCTGATACTGACGCAGTTTATCTCTCTGCTGCTTCAGTTGCTGCAGAAAACAAACAGACGTAAGATCAAACTGTGAACTTTAAAGATGTAGTAACATAGATATAGTTTTATATATATATAGTTTTATAGATGTAGTAACATATAGAGTTTTATATATATATAGTTATACATATATATATAGTTTTATATATATATATAGTTTTATATATATATATAGTTTTATATATATATATAGTTTTATATATATATAGTTTTATATATATATATAGTTATACATATATATCAAAGTGTTTCAGATGAAATCAGGTTGTTGATGACAAACAGCAGCAGCTTCCTCTTGAGCAGTTTTACTTTCAGTATCTGTGGAACCTCACATCAGCCTGTGAGCTGCTCTGACAGAACTACGTAGATAAAACCTGAATGTTAACTTTTACACCTGCACACGTCACAGGTACTGATGCATTTCAATGAAACAGTAGGACTCAGACTTCCCTCAGGCTCTTTAGGTCAAATCGGCACAGAAACTGCTGAGCTGCACTTTAATGAGAGTTTTTAATAGTTAAAATCATTAGCCCAGTTTTCTGTGGCTCTGATTCTGGATGCAGGATTCTGTGAGATAACAAAGTTTGAGTAGAGTCGTTCTGACACCGGAAGTAGCGCCGAACCGAAGAGCACCTCTCCACGGTTCCTCAGCTGTTGGACTTGTGTTGTTTCGAGAGTGTGTTTGTAGTTTCTGCGGAGCTCAGAAGTTAAAACGACGCTTTTCTGAACGCGGTTCGTCAGCCTGTTAGCCGAGGCTAACGCTAACACTGACTCACCAGAATCGCTCGGTCCTGCTCCGTCACGCGGCTCAGCTTCTTTTTCCCGAAGATGTTTCCCATCGTGACGCAGCATCAAGTCCGAGGATCCGAGTCTGAGGAAGATTCGAGTCTTCATCGAGTTCACGAGTCAGAAAAACACCAGCGGCGCCGCTCCGCCATTACTGTCACAGGCCACACCCACGACCGGAAGCACGGAACCAGCCCCGGAGCTCATCGCGAACAGTTTTACAGATTTACTTTGACGAAATCAAAGAAAGTGAAACTTTAGATCATCGCGTGATTTAAAGTTTTATTCTTTATTTTATCTACGCGTCAAAAAAAAAGAAGACGAATTTTAATCAAATACTTGTGGAATCACTTCTTACTACCGCCCTCGTGTGGCGACGAGAAGAACTGCAACACTGCTTCAAGGCAGCGGTATTAGGATAAGGCTACGCTAGCTTTTCCGGTGAACACCTTCAGAATAAATCAACGAAACGGACAGTAATCATTTCGACTGATTGTTTAATTCTGTCCGGATCTGTGTTGATTATTTTCTTTTTGTCCCCAGTGACACATTTAAAACGTCCTTTGGTCTCTCGAATAAATTCAAATGATTATTATCAGCGTTTATACAAACTCGATTTTATTTGTGCCAATTTTTCATTTATAAAAACAACTTCACTACTTTGACTTAAATAGTCCAGTTTCGCACCTAAAGCTCTTTGGTATTAAATGTACACTTTAATAAATGAAACGTCTCTGTTGAGTTCGCACAGTTTGAAGTTTTCAAATCTTAAAATGGTTAATTCATTACAGTTTATCTCCGCTGCAGTCTAACGCTGTATTTTGAAAGCGATTAGCGGAAGTGTTAATACGCAGTCATTCCCGCTCTGAAGCTGTCTTTACTAAGTGTTCATGTTGTTGCTGCTCCTCGCTGTGGCCGCCAGAGGGCAGTAAATACCCCCCTCTGTACACTTCAGATTCATTTAGCTTGTTCGCTTTACTTTGAAAGCGCTTAGCGGAAGTGAAGTTAACCTGTCAGGTCAGCAATAACGCGATCTTTACTAAGGTAATGTAATGTATTGCAGTTTCAGTTTGTGTCCACTGGGGGGCAGTGAACGTCTAAAGTTAGCCTGAGCTAACTTAGCCTGAGCTAACTCCATTAGCATCACGGCAGAAACAGGAAGTACAAGTTACACCATGTGGCCACCAGGTGTCAGCACAGAGACAAGAACACGGGCGCGTCAAGGCTGATATAATGGAACGGTTACACTTCCGTTGAAAACTTTCAAAATAAACGTTTTAACGTTTGTGGATTGAATGATATAAATAAGCTGAATTTACATGTTGTGAAAGTTTGTATGTGAATAAAATCACCTTTAAGACAGAACTGAATAAATGAATAAAGCTGCAGGTGTTAGTTTAGTTTTCAACATTTATAAAAATCACCTCAAAAAGCTTCATTTAGAAACAGTCACTGAAACCGTTTCTGTTTATTTTTACTTCTTTAGCAACATTTATAATTTCATAAATTAAAACAGAAAAACCTGCCGATGCTTCCGTCTTCATCGTGTCCATCAAACAAAAGACGAATCATTTGGATCAACATTTATTCATGAAAAGGTCAAATACAGTTCAATAGTGACGAGTGTCCGTTCAGACCCGAGGGCAACGCAGGAGGAAAATACAGCACACAGCTAAACCACAGAATTTCAAAAATAAAATCAGTGCACAGATCATCTTACAAAGATTGCATAATATAAAGAAAGGTTAGAAACTTTCCCAGAAATAGTTCAACTTAACCACCACCAGGAAAATAAAATGTAACCTGCTCCATCGCCTGAATCCTACAACACAGAGCCGCAGGATGTTGTGGTTTTATTTTGGTGAAATATTTTAAGAGTCTTCTTTAGGTGATCACGTGACACTGGAACTGATCCGCAGAACATTCACATGAATGTTAAAGTGCGTTCAAAGAAAACGTGATTCTTAGAGAACGAATATGAAATGTTTTCAGTTCAACCCTCAAAAAAAAACACATCAAATAAAGTTGCACATTTAAAAAATATCACTCCCTCACTTGGTCGAGTGTAGTTAATGTAGTGTGTCTGTAGGGTGTCTGTAGACTGTCTGTAGTCTGTCTGTAGAGTGTCTGTTGTCTGTAGAGTGTCTGTAGTGTCTGTTGTCTGTAGAGTGTCTGTAGAGTGTCTGTTGTCTGTAGAGTGTCTGTAGTNTCTGTAGAGTGTCTGTTGTCTGTAGAGTGTCTGTAGTGTCTGTTGTCTGTAGAGTGTCTGTAGAGTGTCTGTTGTCTGTAGAGTGTCTGTAGTGTGTCTGTTGTCTGTAGAGTGTCTGTAGTGCATGCTTGGAAATAATAATAACCACAAATCCTTCAAGACCTGATTGTGAAACCTGGTGAGTCACTGATGAGATAAAAGTTTCTGTGTGAACAGACGATGAACGAACTTCTCCCCGACACCTGGAGTGAGAATGAAAAAACCATCACCTGCAAAAATCTGAGTCCGACACGTGACGGAGCTCAGGACAGAGAATAAACTCACTCAAACCTTCAAGTTCTCCAACTTCACTTTGAGCCGACGTGTCAAAGTGCTGAGTCACACTGCTGATACTTCAAAATAAAAGCTTCACATGTTCCTCAAGTCTTTCCCTCAAAGTGTCTAAACTTCAGCACGTCGCCTCTCACCTGAATGTCATGAGAAAATTACAATTCATCGGTTTGCACCATCGCACCTGCTTGAACAAAGACTAAGATTATGCAGCTACACAGTAAATACACAACACAAACACACACACAGGCTAGATAGTTAATAACACACTGCTGCGTGATTAAAAGTGGCACCAAAGTGAAACAGCGGCTCCACTGAGCAGAGTTACAACCCCCCCCCCCCATCACGTACATTCAAAATCAGTTTCATCAAAAATCCTCTAAAAACCTTCCGAGAGATAAACAACAAGCTCCGTCTCAAGCTCCGCCTCCCCACGTCTCAGGTCATCCCCGTGGTTATCGTCTGAGGGCAGTGTGCTACATGTTCCGGCGTGAAAACTGTTTCCTGCCCGACATCCCAGCTCGAGGCTAAACCTGTCGAGGCCACAGGGCGAAGAGCGTCCGTCTGAAAACCCAACATCCGTCTGCCACATTTCACGACGATCAACCTCCACGAGAGCGCGCACGCTGAAACGCTCCTGGAGAATACGGAGGCTTCAGGTGTGGATGTTGAGAATCACACGATGATGTAAAACGAGGAGAAAAAATAAAACCGTGCTGTTTGTTAATCAGATCTAACGAGTCTGTGCAGGACGAGCGTCTCCTCTCTAGTGTTTTAATTAATTCATCTCACTGCCCCACATCAATTCTAGAACTATTATGCAAACTATTAACACACATGCTACTGACACTAAAAAACAAAAGCACTTCTCAGTGTGGATGTGTGCGGAGGTGTCGGTGTGTCAGAGATGTGCTGCTTTGGTTCGGTTGTGGATGGATTCCATTTCTGGTAGTGCTTCAAAACTGTTTCACAAACAACAGACGAAACATCTGAGGAGACGACCACACACACACTCACTGTAACGCCTCCGACAGACGAGAACGGACGGAGATGATTACAAAGCATAAATATTAATATATTATATAGATAGTTTTCCATTTACTGACTCCCTGTGAAGATAAAAAACACTGTTAGGAAGAGGAGGAGGAGTCACGTCAGCGTGTCGAGAAAGAGCCGCCGGCCCCTCGGTCTGTGCGATTCAGAAAACACGGAGCACCGGTGGACGAGGGTTACACACATGCTCACCTCAGACCCACAGAAAGAAGCCCAGAGCCCAAAGACACACACAGTCCCAGTGTTCGAGCCCCGACCCAGATCCGTCCCGTTTGTTTGAGGGCGGTGGGATCGGTGTGCGCGGAGCGGGCGAGTGCTGGCGTGAGCCATCAGGCTCTGAAGCCTGGCAGGACGGGATCGGTGAGTCCTGGTCAGTCAGCAGCCGGCTCAGTTCAAAGCTGGTGCACGATGCTGTCCGTGTGATTGGCTGAGGCGGAGCCGTCCTGACGCAGCCGCTGCCACTGGAAAGTTGTGCTGAGCGAGCCGACCTCATCTTCCTCGTTGTCCTGCTCCTTGGCAAACTCCATAAACACCTGGAGGAGAAGAGGAGACGTTAAATCTCAGGTCTGACATTAAAGAGGTTTTAATAAAGTTTATTTAAATTATCAGGTAGACAATGACGACAGAAAAATGATCTAAACCAGCATCATCATCAAACTTCCACTCTGGATTTTCAAATGAATCAAGTCATTATTTGTCTCTAAAGTTCAGAAGAACAGTCGGAAAAGTTTAAAACCAAGAACGCAAAAGAATTAGAGTTTTTTTATGAACCACGTACCTGCTCCAAGGTCGACTGGGAGAAGTTGTATTTTTCAAAGTTGAACATTTGCTTGGCTGAAGATAAACAGATGAAGAGAAATGAGATAGAAGTTACGAGTGTGTGTGTGTGTGTGTGTGTGTGTGTGTGTGTGTGTGTGTGTGTGTGTGAGCAGTGACTCACCTCTCTCTAACTGAGAGAACGACGTGGCCAGTGACTGGACGTCCTCTGTGGGAATCTTGTAAACCATCAGAGTAGCAAAGCTGCAGGAAGCCATCAAAACAAGTTAGTGTGATTTTAAAATCATGTGTTGACCAGCACTTTTACTTTGAAGGGTAAATGTTTACATTTTTAGAGTTATATTTCCTGTTGTATGTTTTAGACACGCGCGCGCGCGCGCGCACACACACACACACACACACACACACACACACACAC